TATACCAGGGATAATCCAGTAAAGCCAATCACGGCTAAACTGTGTATGTTATTAATTAATCCAGGGATTCAAAACTAGTGTTAAATAAGGCCGTGGGAACAACTTGTGTCAGGTGTTGATTATAAACGCTTCAACTGATCAGTTAGGAAACATAATCTGCATATTACTGCATCAGGTCTCCACAAACTAAATCACCAAGCTTATGTTAGTTAACTAGTGAAGTAATTGTGTGTGAAAACGACCTTAAAATATAATGTAAAGTTACACGAAAATAGGTTTGCAAGCGGCAGAATGGGTTGTATATAGCGCAAGCTATTAAATTTGTCTGTTCTGTTGCGAAGAAAGGCAGCCACTGATAAACTCATGTACACGAGGACCACATATTTAGGAAAGCAATACAAAACGTGATACATTTTAGGATCCATCATCCACGCACGTTCTTTTCATTCAGGCCGAAGCAGTGAAACACCCCCACTTGTTGTATGCAATTAGTTGTGTCGTTTAGCCATGCCTGAGTAATCTGCTATTTGCCGGGGACAGCTGGACGACTGCTGCCGACTCTGGCCTAGAAACGCATGTCATATTCCTGGATTTCGCCAAAGCCTTCGACGAGGTCGACCACAAGATTCTACTGCAGAAACTGTTGTCTTACGGCGTTTCAGGGGACTTGATGGACTGGATCCGGAACTACCTTCAAAACCGTACCTTCCAAGTACGCGTCGACGGAGCGTTGTCTCCCCGTATCCTTGCCACAAGCGGAGTTCCACACGGTTTTGTTCTCGGACCGCACCTCTTCCTAGCCTTCATTGACGACGTCACACCGCAAGTGGAGCCTTCGCTGCTGCTATACGCGGAGGACGCGAAGCTGTGGCGCACAATAAACCTTCCGGACGATGCCCACGCACTTCAGACGGACCTCGACCGTCTACATCAGTGGTCCATAGAAAACAACCTTCCATTTAACGCTTCGAAATGTCGCGTCGTTTCTACCCGCCCTTCCGCTTTTTCTCCTATATATTACCTGGGAGCGTCTATCCTCCAGATCTCTTCAGCCGAAAGAGACTTGGGTATCATTACCCAGACGAGTCTTTCCGTATCCGCTTCCTGCCGTAAAGCAGCAGCTGCTGCTAACCGCATGGTGGGATTGTTGAAACGAGCCTTCGGTCAAATTGACCCCAGCAATTTCCGCCTCCTCCTCAACGCTTTTCTTCGACCCCACTTGGAGTTCGCTATTCGGGCTTGGAGCCCTTGGTTGTTGAAGGACCAACGCATACTCGAAGCCCCACAACGTCGAGCAACCAAACTGGTCCGAGGTCTCAAGCACCTAGATTATCCACAACGACTTCAGTGCCTGGGCCTCTACTCGCTAAAGTACCGACGTCTACGGGGCGACCTGATCCTTGTATTCATGATCTTATCCAACCTTGGACGTCCCTGTTGCCACTTACTCACACTGCACCAATCGGGTTCCCACCTACGTGGCCACCCACTGAGGCTCACACATCAGCACAGTCGGCTGAACTGCAGACGACACTACTTCGCTTTGCGAACCTGCCGACCGTGGAATGCTCTGCCTGCCGATTTAGTCTTGGCACCCACTGTGGCGGACTTTAAGACCCGCCTGGACTGTCATCTGGCCGAGTTACACCGCGATATTCCCTAATATAACTACCTTCTACTGAATGGAATTTCTTTCCCTTTTTTTCTTCTACCTACTTCCTTTCCAAAGCCGTTTCGGAAAGCGTGGGGGGATGTCACGCTTTGAGCCGGCGTGCATTCTGTTTAAATGCCGCATAAGCCCGATGAAGATACGACTAACACTCGAGTTCAACCCGCTATAAGGTTGCTTGGCCTTTCATTAGATCCGACCCGAACTCTTTTTACCCTATGGGTCATGTAAAGCTCGAGCTTTTATTCCCATTAAATACAATGTTCCAATGTTCCAATGGGATATTACGAATATAAAACCAAGGCTTGACAAGTCCCGTGGGATAGCTTGTAGGAATAACGTTAGTACAATAAACACTTACACAAAGTGAAAGACGCATATTTGGACTCACCATATTACCCACGTTAAAACATAAGTAAATCCGTCTACCCCGAGTTCGTAGGGTTGGTGAGTACAATATTTGTCTGCGCATTGTCCTCACTCACTGAACAGAAATCAGAACAAGTAATGCAAGCGGTGTAAAACATCATCCAGTTGTTTTAAAATGATGGGTAGCATGGGAGCAGAAATGGCAAAGTTCGTAAGAGCGTTACACTATTGACAAGATGGTTGGGAAAAGTAGTTCCGGTGGCACTCAAGCCGACTGTATTGGATGGTCAGTTTCAGCTTATGATCTCTCGAGTCTATGTTGCATCTGGGTGTCAGGGGGTGGCAGCAAGCGTGACCGGGGTTTTTCAAGTTCTGGAACTCCAGAATGAGGTCACCCAGTAAACGGCAGTATCTTCCGCTGTACACTCCCAGCGCTTTCAGTGGTATATATATTATGGTAGGTAGAACAATCCCTTCACATTTTTCGTGGCCTTTCGCTGTGCGGTCTCCAGTGCAGCCAGATCGCGTACTCTAAACGTGGTCTCACATACGTATCGAGCGTTTGGGGGAAGATGGAGGGATCGAACCTCCAGAAAGCCTTCCGTAATAGACAAACATGTTGGTTTGAGGTTTTGGACTCCTTCAATGGCTGCGCCGAACATCCCAAGGTCGCGCTTTTGTGAGACGGTCTCCAACATGAGGTCTCCAAGCTTATAAGAGTTAGTGAGCTTGTAGGGGACATACACAGTTCTGCACTTGTCCGCGTTAAACGGAAACGGATTGACATTTGACCATTCAAACGCGTGGTCCAAGTCTCCTGACAGCTCATCACCCGACATATTTTGATGTCCTCGGCAAAAAGAAGGACGTTTGACTCGATGACAAGCGCAAGGTCATTCATAAAGAACAAGAATAATCGCGGTCCCTACACTGGCCCTTGCGGAATACCGCAGTCTACATTGGATCAGAAATTGAGCCCCTAACTGGAACCTGAAGTCGCCGCTGAAGGAAGAAATTTCCGATACTTCTAAGAACTGGTTTTCCAATTCCTTATAGTTTCGACTTTTTGTGAAGAGTGCGCTGATCTGAGCTGTCCAAGGCTTTAGAGAAGTCTAGGTAGATTATATCAATACTAGTCCCACTGTTGACTATCTCGGTCCAGCTGCAACGGGCAATAAGTAGATTGGTAGTACATGATCGATTCTGACGAAATCCGTGCTGCTTTGGTGCTATGATGTTAGTACTTTCAAAGTAGCCCATTAGAGCCTCAGCTACGATCGACCTCATCACTTTTGAAGAACCGGGAGGATAGTCACTTGGCGCTAGTTGGCGGGCTCTGAACGGCTACCACTTGAAAATTGGGGTGATGGTTCCCTGTTTCCACATGTTAGGCATCTTTTGAAAAATCTCGTTTGTTGTTCAGCTATCCTCGTAGCTGCCACCTGCATTACTTTCGGGGGAATGTTGTCAACTCCGGGGGATCTATGGGTGCGCAACAAGTGCAGCTTCCTCAAAAGTGTAGCCGAACTAAAGGTGGCGTGTGTAAATACTGGCGTCTGGAAGATTGGGACAGGTATGTTACACATGCTGGTAGCACGTCGGAAAGTTGGAGCGTCTTGGAGCCGTAGAACGTTAGCTTCATCCACGGCGGTTTGAGCACGTTCGTCTGCTGATATTAGTGGAGGAACACCTATAACAATCCGGAAGCTGTTCACATGTCTGTACAGAAGCTTTTTGCTGGCACAAAACACTTCAGCTAGACTCTGCTGGTGTCGAATATGCAATTCAAGTCTGGCCTCCTTGGCTGAAACACGGCCTTAATGAACTGGAGCAGCCACAACGTGGGACATCGAGGTGGGTGATTGGAATGCGCAATCTTTCCTACCAGGAGGGGCTGCAACGATTAGGGGTTTTCAGTGGAAGCTATCGCAAACTACTAGGCGACCTGATTATGGCATACTTGATTCTGCGAGACCCACATCATGTGTGCCGCCCTTTACTGCAACTCAGCAGCGGTACAAACCTGAGGGGCCACTCATTAAAACTCGCAGAACAATACAGTCGTCTGGAGTGCCACAGAAATTTCTTTTCCATTCGTGTCTGTCACCCGTGGAATGCTCTCCCAGAATCGGTCGTCTCTGCACCGACACTAACCGTATTTAAAAAACGGTTGGACGATGCACTCATCCACTTACACTTTGTCACTTAGTACTACGCCTCCATCCTACACCTGGACTTTACCATGGAATTATTTGATGTTAACTGCGGGTGTGTGAATCTAAGCAGGTTACAGGACTACGGAGGAGCAAACAATAAGTCCTTATTTTCATATTTAAAGTACTAACTGTTTTACTGTCATTATTACCATTATTGTTATGTCGATATCCCCACCAACTATCCAACGGGACTTGTAAAGCAAAACTTCTTAACCCGTATAAATGTATTTTTCCTTGTTCATTAATTTGTCCTCACACACAAGTATGGCACAGTGATTACGATGCACAACATAGTTACTCCAGTTGTCAGGGCTAGGGTTCGCCACGATGTGTCTCTTACTGTCATATGTTTTCGGGTTCTGCTCCGAATGAAGAATAGTGCTCTTGCAGAACGAAGGGACTTGTTTACCGATGCGGATTTAATCAGATCACTGAACTTGCCAGTAAACTGCATGCAAGCAACTGGTATGATTATATGGTTGGCTGTTACGCAGTGACACTAATCAAATATTGCGCATTCCGTCATCCTGCAGAATCGGAAGGATGTTCACTGGCGATGGGTTGCAGTATAACGAAACTGACGTTCAGAGGCTTTACTAGATGCATTGCTAGTATGAATCCCTACTGAACATTAGATTATTTTGAAAATGTTTTGTGTACTGCTGTGCAGGTCTCTACACTCGTGTCACGATTGCACGGGTGGCTACTGTACTGACAAACACTCTTAAAAATCTGTTTTTCATTAGATTGAATCGAAAAGCTACCTATAAACTGAAAAATGATGCCTCCGACAAGTTACAAGCGCAGAACATCGACGAATACGCCTTGAGTCTCAAGAGTACAGACGAATCGCTTCCTGGGTTGCGCGATTCATTGGGTGTCGATCCTCAGTAAGTAGTTTAGTTACGTCACAATTTGTTGACCATAGATCTGTTAATACCGAGGAATGGCAGAACTTCTCAGTTGATAACATTGAATTAGGAGACAGAGTTCTACAGAATTCACAGGACCTGCGTAGTCTGATCGACGGCATCCTACAGCAAGTAGCATCAGATCAAAGGCGTCAGATTGAAGCCACGAATCTTGCTTTACAAAAGCGCATAGAAGAGACCAGGAGCGCCAAGGGTAAACTGGAGGAACACCTAGCCGAAGTGAGTTCGTGAATGCTAGCCGCCTTTCTTTCAGATTTTTGCACCCGTGTTACCCAGGTCACCAAATCCCATTTGCTTATTTCTTTAGTATTTAACGGAAACGATAAAGATTGAGTCATGCGGTGATGTGACAGAGAAGGGCAGTGTACTTCAGTAAAACACATTTAAACACAGATTACGCGGACACCCCTAGCTGTCCCCACTGCATCCACCAAACTAAGTAAAAGTGTACGTCGAACCTTGACACTTGAAGTGATTTAAGGCTGTTGGCTCAGACTGTCTTCCTCCGAAACTGTCGATCTAAGGAGGTAATGTACTTGTCAACCAGCTGACCACATTTTTCCCAAATCTGATATGGAGTTATCTTGTCATCTTCCTCGAGCAATTCAGTTACCGTTCCGATCGTAAAGAAAGGCGCTTGCACTTTATGCGTCGAGGAAGGGGAGTCCATCCTCCTTCAATTTTCCTCCGAACTACTGGTATCTATTCCGATATATGAACGGTCCCTACCGTTAATAGCAAAGTGGTTTCGGTTCCGCCACCTCATCGAACACTACAACCATTACCAAAAGCATACCATCGTCCCCTTACAAGACATTTGGAGGGAATCTAACTCCGCCGATCGAACTTCTGGATGATACTACTTGTTAGAAAAAAAGGAGTTCCAAAAAAGTATACTGCCATCCCAGGATACTATACCATCACGTTTACAGCTGAATTAGAGTTAACGGCAAGCTCTCTCTCTGTCCTTCACTATTAGTACTTACATACCACAGTTATGCAACGTGTCCTCTGAGTTTTTCCATTTTTGTATTTGTAGGCGCTCTGGAAATGTTCCAAATTTTGGCTTAAAAGTTGTGCCAGACGGAAACGCAACTGGCTTAGAGCCGGTAATATGTTTCCAGCATTCAATTTTGGGATTTTTAGTAGGTTGATTCATAATATGTACAAGCACACGCATGCACTTTATTGCTTATTTGACAGGCAACGATCGAAACCTTTCGTAAACTATATTTGGAGATCCCAAATGTCAGTACCAATGCAAATTTTTTTGGATCATATCTCTTTGCGCTTGAACGAAGGGGATATGCAAGCCCATAGTTGTTCCTGATCGTCAGTTTTGTACGCTAGCGAATACCATCGTTTTATGAATTCCGGCCTTAGGCATGGTGCATTACGAGTTTCTACATTCTTATTTGAACTTTCCAATTGGAAGTATTTTTGTTGTGCCTGAAGTATGACGCTTCTTGGTACTCCGTCCAACACAGCACTATAATGTTTTTTTCTGCCATGAACAGGCTATGTTAATGCGAAAGGTTCATTTATACTCCATTTCATATTCAATGCAGCAGTCTAATGAATAGACACAGCCAATTAAAACAATCAGAATCAACCGAATATGGCAGGTAGATTCGTCGCATCATCATCAGTACACATTAGCCGAAGGTGGGAAATACACCACAGCAATTTTGCCGCAGGAAAAATGGAATATTCTTCTTATTTTTCCCAATCCATTGTTCAGTTTCTTTTTATTTTGTCCAACGTTAGGCATTAAGTGATGCGGATTCCGCTGACCGTACGAGTAACCTGCTCCGATTGCGCAAACTGACCGATCGCCTTCCCAGATCACAAGCTGAAGGTCTCAGGTGAAAACTTTATTGTACACCAGTCAAGAAGTACGAGCAAATACTGGGGCAAATAGATAGTTCATAAAAGAATGACCTGGATGGAATTTTTTGGCTTTCATCAACTGCTAGATGCCTGCTAATGCACTTGTTGGTTGCCGAAAGAATGCATTCAGTGGCAGGCTTCGAGGTAAGCCATCCAAGGTGAAACGTCCACTCTCCTTGATTGACCAACAAGCTTCGGGCTGCGTCAGGGTCAAACTGTTCCGAGCTGCTAGCGAAGCTGGGGGTGTCTCCAAAGGCTGCTATGGGCAGACTCCCTTAACGTTAAGCATCCGAAATAAACTAGTATGCAAATAGATCTTCCACTAAGTTTTGTTGCGCACCATATTCTGAATTGTTTCCTGCCATCGGCACTCCTCGTCCTTTTGTCCTATTCAGGCAGGTGTGTGGATCCAACGGCAGCAAGACGTAAAGTCAACCATTTCCAATGCTGCCTTCAGGTGGACGTCTGTTAACCGCGTGGTCTCTTACAGTCAAATCCTGCACCAGCAAACAGGGCATAGTGGGGCAAACGCTCAACTGAAACGCGCAGGCCACCACCGAGCCATCTTAACTGGTGTAGCATAACCAGCTTGTTAAAGTGATACTCGCACTCCCTAAGACACGACGTTTGACTTCACTGTTGCAAATAGCTTGTTTCCGCCACACCTGAGAGGTCTGTTCAGGCACCCATTATCGAAGGCCGAGAGCCGGCACCTGTCCTTCACGCGAACCTGACATGACTCGGTTTCATATAGTAACACCGTACAAACTGTGGCATTGTAAACACGGTCATTTACCAAGAGGAATACATCCAGACGAATCCAAGTGTTTCAGGTTAACAAACGACGACTATGCTGTGGCGATGTGGAGTGAAACTTCATTTTCATAATATCACCAGCAGATATTGGAACTGAATCGAGTTCGACTGTAACTTCAAAACGCTAAACACGAGTGGGGCAGAAAACTATCTTCGTTTTGCAAAACCACTGCCGTTTATCAGAGGTAGGGCCAAAACGCATTTTCCCTGTCTATGCAACCAAAATGCCTAGTCAAAGTGCAAATATTTGGCTAAATGTAGCCACTATACATTACTTGATGTGAGTGGAAACTAACTCACCTGCTGGGGCTATGGAGGAATTTATGCTCCCACAGCAAATTGCACACTAACATACCACTAGTCTTCGTGAAGTCGCGAGTGTACTGCTCCCGTTGCGCTGAACTATTAGAGGAATACAATAGGTTCTAAAATCGGCCAGCGCTGTTCGTATATGACGTTATGAAACACTACAATATCACTAGTCTGTACCAAATTCCAAATGTAGCGCTTTCCTCAGCTTCTTTTTAACACAGCGTGTCTGATACGAAGCTATTTTGCTGTACGCTTCTAGTTCTGCTTAGATACCATTCCACCAGACACTAAAGGTGGTAGCAGCCAAGCCGAGGGAGGCTTTATCCGACTGCTTAAAAACTGTTTGCTTGAAAGGTGCGCTACTGTTGGTTAGAAGGAATGACGCATTACTCTAATTTCCGAAGTCGTTAGCCCCACAGAGCTCAAAGATACCGTATACTACTCCTCACCGTTGTGCTTCCAGAGCTAAAGTTGGAGACGATCGATGCCAAGTCTAAGATTGACCATTTGAACTGTCGTAACATCATAGAGACAAGAGCGCAGGTCTTCTTTGATACCGATCACCCATTACGATCCTACAGATCCCGCAAGTCAGATGCAATGAAGCGGCTGATGGTGAGGCTAGAATGGACTTTTCTATATGGACGTTGCAAAATGTTTTGACCATTGGAGAGGCTGCATGCTTCGGCATAGATTACAGTTTCACTGAATCCGCCAACCTGCTCGTGTGTGGATTCTAGAGTTCCTCTCTTACCTCTTGCTGAATGCTGGAGTTGTGTAATACTTGTACTATCCACCAAATTCGCAGGAGCCAACAACAGTAGTACCTCAGTCAGTGACTGATGGTCCTGCAACAACCTTTGAACGTTGGTGGTGCGAATCTCATGCGAAACAACAGGACCACTCTAGGGAAGTTAATCAGGGCATGGTGTACGTGAGCTAAGATACTACCGGGACTCTCAGATTTAGACAAAAGATCGATCAGGGCCCTCCACTAAAGTTTTGTTCAAAAGCCTGTCTGAAAGGTAGCAGGAACCATCAGCTAAAGATGACCGCGAAACTTATCAGACTCTTTTACATAGTACACCTAACTGAATTGGAAGCCACAGGCAAGTTATTCAGGCGGTATCGGTATCTAGTGGAATGATTTCCTACGGTATGCCACATTGCTATGAAGCCCACATGTTTTTGTCACCATCAGTAAATTCGTGACCACCGGGCTAATATCGGTCACGCAATAGAGTCGGTAGACAGTTGACGGTAATTTATTCTCCCTTCTGCACTTGCATAAAAGCCATAGGAAATTCGACTTGGCAGTTCGTTCATGCAACTGTCTAACCTGGATGATAAACCATAAATTGACGATATGATCTGCTTTCTTAAAGATACTTCAAGAAAGTATTATATGTGTCCAAGAAAGGTGAATATTTAACTGTGATACACATCTTCAGTAATTTAGCATAAAACGCATGACTTAAAAGTAAACCAAAAATGTGATAATGGATGGTAATCACAACACCAGCCATTTGAACTAACGTTTCATTGCAGTAAAACTGCAGTGACTACGGAACGAAGAATTGTCAGAAGGAGAGAGGAGGAACCTTAAAATAACATTCCGGGCCAAGATGCATACACACGGTTACGAACAGTTTGTTGTCGTGCAAAAATAATGTGGCCTCAGCGAGATAGCTTGATTGTGATTTTCTCTGTCCCGATTCATAATCAGCCAGCACCCCGCAGATAAGCCAGCACCGATTATACTGTAAACAGGCAGCCCCACTACGAGACGACAGCGGATGCGCCATTGGTACCGACTGCGAGCCATGTCCTGTAACGCCTTGGGCCAGGTACAAGACGGGTCACGTGAACTTCAGTCTGGATGACGAAACGGACCGACGGCACCGAATTTGCTCGTCAGTGACTTCATCTCCCGTGGTCAAGTCAATCTTTGTCTACCACGAGCCTTGCGCCACCCTACATCTGGCAGACAAAACACGGCCTTCCTCGGTTAACAGTGACCGCGCATACGTAGTACGTACCAAAGCCAAAGCAAATTATTCAGTGCTATCTGTTATTCTAATGATTTAGCTTGCTTAGCACTGCCTAGGATATCCGGGCTACCGAAAGCCCTCCGCCCAGCGGGCCATACGGTACTCTATATTGTCAGTTAGGCAACCCGCGCTGTCCCTGATTCTTTTACT